TTCTGAATCCAATCTGCCACATTTCCCCCTATCCCATGCCTCCTTACCTGCTGCATGAGCCTACCATGGGGAGCCTTATCAAACACTTTACTTAAATCTATGTATACCACATCCACTGCTCCACCTTCATCCAAGTGTTTGGTCACCGCTTCAAAGAATTCAATAAGTTTGTGAGGCATGATCTACCCCTCATAAATCCATGCTGACTATTATGAATCAAATTGTGCCTTTCCAAGTGATCATAAATCTTATCTCTCAGAGCCCTTTCCAATAATTTGGCCACCACTGATGTAAGACTAACTGGTCTGTAATTTACGGGGTTATCCCTGTTCCCTTTTTTGAACAAGAGAATGACGTTTGCCTCTTTCCAATCTTCCGGCACGATTCCCGTGGACAGTGAGGAAGAAAAGATCATCGCCAAAGGCCCTGCGACCTCATCCCTCGCTTCCCATAGAATCCTTGGATAAACCCCATCAGGCCCGGGGGACTTATCTATCTTCAACTTCCTCAGAATTCCTAGCACATCTTCTTTATTAACATCAACCTCCTCTAGCCTACCTGCCTGTTTCACAATGTCCTCCTCTACAACTAGGTCCCTCTCAGTTGTGAATACTGATGAAAAGTATTCATTAAGGACCTCTCCTATCTCTTTAGGCTCTGTGCACAAATTCCCTTTACAATCCTTGATCAGCCCTATCCTTTCTCTGGTCATTCTCTTGTTCTGCACATACGTGTAAAAAGCCTTGGAGTTTTCCTTGATCCTATCCGCCAAAGTTTTCTCATGCCCCCTTATAGCTCTCCTAAGCCCTTTCTTCAGCTCCTTCCTGGCTAACTTGTATCCCTCTAGAGCCTTTTCCGCTCCTCTTTTCCTAAACCTTACATAAGCATCCTTCTTCCTCTTAAAGGAAGGAGTTCAGGTTAAAGGAGGTCAGGTTAATCAGCCTGTAATTTCCTGTCTTTTGCCTTACTCCCTTTTACATTCGTGATTTTTCAGTCCTCTGGGACCGTCCCTGACTCCAACGATTCCTGAAAGATCACCATTAATGCCTCCACTAACTCTTCAGCTATCTCCAGCTCTGGGGTGTAATCCTTCTGGTCCATGTGATTTATCCACCTTCAGTCTTTCTAGCATCTTGTCCTTAGGGATTGCCATCATACTTCTGTCCACGACTGTCTTGAATTTTTGGGAAATTACTTGTGTCTTCCACTGTGAAGACTAACACAAAGTACTTATTCAGTTACTCAGCCATTTCTTTGTTCGCCACTACTACTTCTCCAGCGTCATTTTCCAGTGGCTCAATGTCCACTTTTGCCTCTCTTTTGCCCTTCATATATTTAAAGAAACTGTTGCAATCTTCTTTTATATTATTGGCTAGCTTACCCTCATATTCAATCTTGTCCCTCCTTATTTCTTTTATGTTGTCGTCTGTTTGTCCTTTGGCTTCCCACTACCCTTTGCTGCATTATATGCTCTCTCTTTTACTTTTATCCTGTCCCTGATTTCCCTTTTCAGCCATTGTTGCCTCATCTTTCCTTTAGTATGCTTCTTTTTCCTAGGGATGAATTTTTGCTGTGTCTCCTGAATTATTCCCAGAAACTCCCTGCCATTGCTGTTCCCCTGTCTTTCCTGCTAGGCTCCTCTCCCAGTCATTCTGGTCAGCTCCTCCCTCATGCCTTTATTCAACTGTAATACTGTTACATCTGATTCCACCTTCTCCCTCTCAAATTGCAGAGTAAATTATATCATATAATACTCAGCCTCCTAAGGGTTCTTTCACCTTAAGCTCCCTTATCAAGTCTGTCTCATTGCACAACACTAACACCAGAATTGCCTGTTCCCCAGTGGGCTCCACCACAAACTGCTCCAAAATGCTGTCTTGTAGACATTCCATAAATTCCTTTTCTTGCAATCCATTACCAATCTGATTTTCCCAGTCCACCTGCATATTGAAATATCCCATGATCACTGTAACCTTGCCTCTCACACACCTTTTCTATCTCTTGGTGTATCTTGTGCCTCTAGTCCTGAGTATTGTTTGGAGGCCTGTATATAACTCCCATTATGGTTTTTTAACGTTTGCAGTTCCTCAACTTTACCCACATAGAGTCTACATCATCTGACCATAACTTCATTTCTTACTAATAAGGCAATCTCACCTCCTCAAATAACTGCTTCCAATCCACATTCTCCAGTTCCTGTCTAATTTGGGTGTAATTGGCTCTTGGCCAATTAAGCACCCTCAACCGAGGGCCACTTGTGTCCATTTCCATGATGACTCAAAATCTTATGGAATTAAGGTCACTAAGCCCAAAATGCTCTCCTATTGAAACATCAATCACTTGTCCTGGCTCATTCCCTAGGACCAAGTCTAATATGGTTGGATTGTCAACATACTGCCTCAAAAAGCCCTCCTGGACAAAGCTAACAAATTGCTCTCTATCCGAGCCCCTTGCTCTAAGGGATTCCCACTCAATAATAGGAAAGTTGAAGTCACCCACCACGACTACCCTGCTCTTTTCACACTTTTCCAGTATCTGACTACATATCTGCTCCTCTGTCTCCTGTGGGCTGTTGAGATGTCTATAGAAAACCCCCAACTTTGTGATTTCACTCTTCCTATTCCAAAGCTCCACCCATAATGCCTCAATGCAAGATCCCTCTGATGTGTCCTCCCTCAATACAGCTGTGATGTGATCCCTAATCAGCAATGCAACTCCCCTAACCGTTTTGTTTCCCTTTCTGTCCCGTCTAAAACAGCAATATCCAGGAATGTTAAGCTGCACGTCCTGTCCCTCCTTTAACCATATCTCTGTAACGGCAATAACATCTTAATTCCATGCAGTAATCCATGCTCTTAGTTCATCTGACTTACCTGCTAT